GTCTACAATTAAAACTAATTTGTTTATACACTTTATTAAATCATCATTATGTTTCCAGTATTTGCTTGTCAGCCACAGGACGCATGTGTTTATTTTATTTGCCAATCATCTGTTTATTCTCAGACTGATCTATGAAACAAACCAAAATAGGCACTTGTTATTTTGATCTGAGTTTATTTTTTAATACTAGTAAAATGCATTATGTGAACACATACATGGTATATTTGTACGCTTTATATTTTATTATTTTCACACACAACCCCCCCACTTTTTTGCAGTAAATTTTAAATATACTAGAATGTTTGTTTGAACAGTAACACAGTATTACTACCTGTCAAATACATACATTGTACAACTGATGCAAATTTAATAAAAGAAAACTGACACATATACTCATGTGGGATTTGTAAAACATGCAATARTAGTTTGAATAAAACATTGATGCACACTCAGTTTTTCACAACAGAAAATCTGCTTTCACTGAACACCAAACAGGATCTCTGCACTCATCATGAGTAAATAGTCGTTATAAATCTGTAATTTGGACATTTTGTTTTCTTGTCAGAATCAGCAGGAACTAGAAACAAAGCACTTCCTGTGAAAATGCCAGTGTGAATGCTTCTTGCTGAAATGCTCACCTGAGAGCTGCTGAAATGAAGCYGAAAATATTTAACAGCAAAACAAYAATGCCAGTTCAATGTGAAAAGTATGGAGTTCCATTTGTGCCAAAAATATGTTGTTGCGCCTTAGTCCATGTTTTTAAACCTTGTGTTGACACATAAYGTCGTTTTGTTGGCGGCRCAAGACAGAACAAAACGACKTTATGTGTCAACACCAGGTTTAAGAACATGGACTAAGGCAGCGCAACAACATATTTTTGGCACAAATGGAACTCCATAKYATGGAATAGGCAACAGCTCTACCAACTGAGCCACCATTTTGTTTTTACAATTTACTCTTTTATTTTGATCCTGACAGCCAAAGTGGAAAGAGAGCACATAAAAACACAACAACTGCTGTGATGTAGAAAACTGTGAAAAACTTGTTGATCCTRTTGGCCACATTGGACCAGTAGCCAGACTTCTGTTCCACGTTGCCGAGTTGATTTACGTTTTTCTTAATCACTCCCAGCTCATTTGAGATCTTTTCCAATAATTCAGTCAGCTGGCTGCTGCTGCCCTGCAAGAGTCATTGATGGGAATAAATTGAGTCAGTGGAGACGTYATCAACACAAAAATGAATTACTTTGGTGGCTCCTTCACTGGAARCRAAAATCTAGATTCTGTTTCTAATGYTTTTATGTTATGTCTGAATAAAATGTATGAAAAACATTCCTACAGAACTTTAACGTCTTTCTTTTTCCAAGCTGAATAAAACAGCTCAGTTGGACTGAAAGACCAACCAACCTCTTTGTAGATTGAAGATGTTTGATCAGCCGTCTCATCACTGATGGATGCACTGTTTTTTATGCCTGGAAGTATGCAGAAAACACAAAAAAACTAATCTGAAATGAATAATTAAAAAATTTCTATAGTTGGTACATTCTGAGGTTTATGATTATGATAAAGGTTTGTTATCATTACAAAGAGAATATGA